GAAGCTGTCGAGCCGATGTTAAAGAAAGAGAGAGAGTAACAAAAACAAGCCAAGAGAAAGAGAGATATACGAACATAAACAGTACAAACAGAGATAGAGAGAGATAGATATATTGACAAGGAGAGAAGGAGGGAAGGGGATATTTAGGCTGCAACAGAAATAGGGCGAAGCTCCCTCGCAGCCTGCGAGGCTTGAAGCTTAGGCCAAAGCGAGGGGGGAGGGGTCCGTGCGCAAGACCTGGCCCCCTCGCGAGAGCGAGGGGGACCAGGAGAGCCAGAGAGGTGCACGCCCGTCGTTGAAAAAGCAGGCGGTCCACGATCCACCTTCGACCCACCCGCGACCCACCCGCGACCCACCCAGTGACCCGCCCGCGTCCCGGCCCGCGACCCACCCCGCGACCCACCCCGCGAGCCACCAGCATTGCTTCGACAAAAAATCCGCGCCTGCGGCGAGCTCGTTGCAGAACCTGTAGGAACTGGGCAACTGCGGCGGGCTTCTGCTGAGCCTCGCAGACTGCCGACGTCCCTGCCGCCCCCCATCACACTTATCCGCAACTGCGGGGGGGCACATGTCTATGGGCATCCTCATCCCAATCTGCTTCCAGCGCCTTCCGACTTCGAGACTCGATCTGTTCTTGCTGCTGTTTGTTATTGTCTGGGCGGGCCCGAACCCAATCTACTTCATCCGCCAGCCTATCTCATGCTTCCACACACTTTTTGTGACTGGCGGGTAAGCCGAGCGCCGCGCGCCCAGCCGGCCGAGACCTCGCGGAGACCCAGCGCCCTGGCCGGCTTCAAGGCGAGCCCGGCCTCCCGGGCTTCCTGGGCGGCCCGCCGCCGCAGGGGGAGAGGTGAGGGGCAACGTGCGGGGGGCGGGGGGGCGGCTCAGGATCAGGCGATCGCAAACATGGATTAAGGGGGCGTGGATTAGCGACGGGTCCCGTTTCCACGGGAAACCGCGGATTTCCGACGCCGAGCGAGGCGGCACCGACCGCATTTGGGGGAGGGCACCTTCCCCGATCCATGGATTTGGTGACCGCGCGCCAAATCCATGGATCGCTAATCCATGTTTGCGCGCGACGTTCGGCAACGTTCCGAGACAGGAGCAGCGTTCCGAGATCAGGGGCAAGGTGAGGGGCAACGCTAGAAGGTCAGGGGCAACGTTCGGCTTATGCCATTCGTTTCTCGAGGGCAGGCTCACGAGGTCATACGTCGACCCCGAATTGCCCATTGATCGCAGATCGGTGCCCGATAGCCCACCCCACGTGCGGTTTCAATTCGACCTGGTTTCCTGGCTCTCCTGGCAGACCATCGTCGGAGGGGGAAGAGGTCAGGGGCATCGTTAGGGGGGGGTGATGCAAGGGAACAAATGAGGGCATAATCATAGATGTTCCGAGAGCCGCGCGTATTTCTCCGATCGACGCTGCAGCTCTTTGGCAGCGCCTCTGGAGCCACCTCTCGCTCGCTCCTCGCGCCAGGGAGGCAGCCCAGCGCCCATTCAAGAACTTAACGCGGACCTGCAAATATTCAGGTGCATGTTATGATGTGTTCTTCGAGGATGGGCTCATGAGTGGATACATCGACCCCCAGCTGCCCATTGGATCTCCGATCGGGGCCCGATAGCCCACCCAAAGGTGCGGGTTGGCTATCGAGGGCTTATCGCCGATCCATCGGCGATGCATCGCCGAGTCCAGGTCGACGGTTCCCCACGAGCTGGCTCCCCCCTGCTGTTCCCTTCCGGGGAGGGGCAGTCCGCCGGTGTTCCTTCGCCATTCCTTCTTTGCCTCCTCCCCTTTCCCGTGCTTCTCCTCGTGGACGCGGCGGTGCATGTGCTGCCCCAGGGATGGCTCCGTGGAGTCACCCTTCGAGGCGACTCGGCCGCGCAGCGTTTTGTTTTTGTCAATTGCCCGCACTGGCGCCCCACAGCTGAATAATGCTGCCTGCTCCCATCTCCTTCCCAAAGGAACTCGTCATCAGAAATCAAGCGGTTCTCTACTCCCATCTTCTCCTTCCAGAAGGCGTTCGCCATCAGAAATCAAGCGGTTCTCTTCATGTAGGCACTCCAGTTTTTGCCACAGGGGCATTCCGATCCGCGCTTCTCGTCCCTGCCAAACCGCAGGGCATCAACAGCAGCCCTTGGGCATGGGGGCGGTGCGCGCGCCCATCGGGGCGAGCGCACGAGGAGGGGGAACCGGCCGGCTGGGCTGTGCAGGCTGGCCCGGGGGCCAGCGGTGTTGGTCGAATGCCACGGCCACCCTTGGCAGAAGAAGTGCGAGCCTTGCGGATCAGAGTGAGATGGAGCAGGTGCTGCATCATGGTGTTGGGAGCGACCACGCAGGACATGTTCTCTTGGAAGCCAGGGCTTGAGAATCCACACTGCGGAGCCCAGTTCAGCCTTGTCCACAGAAGTAGTGTAGGACCCTTCGCCTCCTTACTCCGAGCTTCTCAATAAGCGTGGGGGGGTACCCCCCCGACGGGGGTCAACCTCGCCTCGTGGTCGCGCCGCAACGGGGCTCGGATCGCCTTCGGCGCGCGGTGGCTGCCCGCCACGGGGGTCGATGTGGGGCTGTCGGCGGGGGTGACGCCCCCCCCGACGCGTGTTAAGCAACTCGGAGTCGTATATAATATCTGTCTCTTCCGACTCCGTCTGGCGGGGCCTTGCCAGACGCACCGTGAGCACGTTACGAAGGTCCCACCTCGCATCTGGCGGCTCCTCCACTCGCCGCCGCCCCCTCCGGCCCCAGCCCTCCGCCCCTCGGGATCATCCTGCGGTGTTCGTCATATCGCTCCCATTCCTGGCCACGGTGCCGCGGCACCGCGCGCCACCGTGTCCTGGTGCCTGTGGCGAACGCGCCTGTGCGGCCTCAGAAATCAGCCTCCTCCCCTCGTCCCTTTCCGTGCTTGTGTTTTGCCACAGCGTTCTCCCTCTCTCTCTCTATCTCTCTATCTCTCTTTCTCTCTCCTGCTCTCTCTCTCTCTATCTCTTTCTCTCTGCCCGTGTGTCTCATTACAGGTCACCCTCCTAGCTCCCCGGTCAATCAATCCCGCCCTGGCCAGTTTCTCACGTTTTTTAGCAGGCGTGCATCAGTACGGTAGGTTCGCGTCGTGTCGACCAGCGGCGACCCCAGCGCGGGCGTTCAAGGTTGAACGCCGCCGGCGACCCAGAATCGATCGATGTTGAACGATCGGACGTTGCGGCAGCGGCCGATCGTTCAAGGTTGAACGATCCCTGCGGTGTCAAAAACCAACGCCAGGGTCGGCACGACACGAACCTGCCGTACCACCCTTCGCCTCCTCATGGTCATCATCTTTCCCCAATCAGTGCTTGCACTGAAGGGGTCCCAGCGGATGTTGAAGGATATGGCGAAAGTTCCCCGCCGATGTTGGTGGCAGGCTGGGGTCCCAGGTTCCCGGTTCCAGGTTCCCCGGTTCCCGGTTCCGGGATCCGGGCCGATTTCGGAGGGCGGCGAGGTTCCCTGGTTCCCGGGTTTCTGGCCGATTTTATCGATCGATCTCACCATCGATCGAATTACCGATTTCTCGATCGATCTCACCATCGATCTCACAATCGATCTCACTATCAATATCACAAGCGATTTCACTAGAGATCGCATGAGCGATCTCGCGATCGATCTCACTATCGATCTCATTGAATCGATTGCACTCTCGGTCTCACGATCGACCTTACAATCGTCCTTACTATCGATTCCACGATCGATCTCACAATCGATCTCAAGATCCAAAGTATCAATTTTAAAATCATCCATTGATTGGGGTTTTCTCAGGTGTCATTTGCATCATCCCTCCCTCCCCCACGCCCCCCCATCCTTCATCCTCCCCCCCCTCCTCCTCCCGATTGTTGTTTGCCTCCCCCTCCTCTCACTCCTGTTCCACCGCTCCCTCCCTCCCTCTTGCTCCGTCGTTCCACTTCCCCCCCCCCTCTTCGCCTCCGTCGACCTGCCCCCGTCGGCGACGGCGAAGCCCCCACCAGCCCCCTCGCGGCTCCCCCCGTGCAGGCGTCCATCGCCACCGACAAGCCGCAGACTGCCGAGGCCCGCTCGGCAGTGCCGCCCTTCCCCGGGGCCGCCTGTCTCCGGCGGTGCTGCGTCTCTGGAGGTCGCGTGGTCCCGACGATCGGGGGCGGCAAAGAGGGGGGTGATGACTACGGGGGGGGTGGATATCATGGCGGGGGCCATGACATCTCCCCAGATTTCGTGGCGCCTCGTCTTATTTCATTACGTCCCTGGCCCCCCCGCTGGGCCGCGCACATGCCGCCGGTCATGATTTGCACCCCCCCCTCTTGGACACCCCCCTCTTGGCCGCTCCCGAGTGTTGCGTCTCTGGAGGTCGCGTCGTCCCGACGACTGCCGTGCTCGACGTCCAGAAGGTCGTGCGGCTTCCCAGTTCGCCTCGGACAGCCTCCGGTAGCCTCGGGCAGCCCGCTACAGCTTTGGACAGGCCTGGGCAGCAACGGACAGCTCTGAAATGTCTCGGCTACGGAGTGGCTAGCCGATTCAGGTGGCATGTAAGGTCTCCAACATGTTCGCAGCAATCAGCGGCCCATCTGGTTCTTGCTTGCACCAGGTCCGTTGGCGCAGACCGGTCTGCTGGATGGAACTACTACTTTGCTGAGTATGGAGTCGTCCAGCATGTCTCACAAACAGAGGTGTCGTGAAGACGGCGCCTGCTTCGGATAGGACGGACTTCGGGCAACAGCAAGACGCTTGAGAATTCTAGGGAATCGATGCGGCACGCGGGCCTCGCAGATAAGCTCGTTGTGTTCACTGTTTCAATTCAGCGGGTAGATGATTATCAGGAGGGGAAAAAACACACAGACACAATTAATCGTCGATACCCAGAAAATATGGGAAAATATGGGAAGTGGGGGGGGAAGACAACAACCCAGAACATATAGGAAAATATGGGGGATATTTTTATTTGTGTGTATTTATTTGTGTGTCCCAGTTCTCCTTCAAATTAGTTGAAGCCAACGTCCGCTTCGCCTGTGGACGCGAGACACATTTGCAACGCCACCGCAAGGAGCGGGGAGGGGAACGCCTGCACGATCGACCGCCTGTTATTCGACCTCGTTGCTGCGACGCCTGTAGTTGGCTGGGTTGAAGTGCGCATTTGACGAACCAACACCACACACCCATACCCATAGGGGGATCGGAGAGGGCTATGGGTGCGTGTTGTCGGATGGGGGTCCCCGCTCGAACGGGAGCGTTCCCCAGGGTCCGACAACCCGCACCCATACCCATAGCCAGTCCTCCTCCCAACGACCTCCCTATGGGTATGGGTGTGTGTTGTTCGTTCGTCAGCATTGGACCCTCCACCCTGGATCATGAATGGCGCCATGCTTTGAAGATGAAGTCTGTGCTCAGTTCCTGCGTACAGTGCCGTTTTTGATACATGCTCCGCGTGCGGACCATGTTTCAAACATGCAGGGATCTAGAATTAGAAACAACGATGAATGCGTGCATAAGTTTAGTCAGACATGAATCATGCATTAACAATCCAATGTTTTAAAACCCTATGTTTCAGAAGCTGCCCTGTAACCCGTTCCGATCCACGCCCTGGCCCGAGGATCAGCCGGGGTACTTTTCGTCCGGGGCTGCGATCCATGCCCCGGCCCAGGGCGTGCGCTGGGTGCGCCCATCTTTCGCGGGTGCCCCCGCAGCCGGCGGGATGTCCCGCTTGCTGGCCGCGCACGGGGCACGCCTCGGGTCTCTCCCTCTGGAGGCCCGCTTTTTGGGCCCGCCGTGGGGGCTCCCTATGGAGGGCCGCCCTGGGCCGCCCGGGGGCACTCTCTTGGGGCTCCGAAGGGGGCCCCGAGTCGGAAAGAAGCGCACCCTGAGCTGCCAGGCCGGAGTCAGAAGCGTATTCACTCTGCAGAACGCGCAGATGCTATGGCAAATCGTTCGTTGCCAGATGAAAGTAAAATGCGATACCGTCGTGAGCTGCAACATCCCGACACGTATGCAGGGTTTGAACCACCAGACATGTGGAATGCATATTTGAGAAAGTCATGTATCTTCGACTGAAGAGCGCGGGAAGCCAAAACCACGGAAACGCATAACGAACATCCGTGATGTTGGCCTCTCGAGACCGTTTCTTGGGGAGCGCCTTGGGATGGTCTTGGAGCCTCCTGGAGGCCTCTTGGTTCTTGGAGCTCCTGGAAGCCTCTTGGGACCTGCGGCGGGGGCGTTTGTGAAGGAGTGTGCCCAGTAGGCTTAGGTCGGGCCTGTCCCTCAACAGGAGGAATATTCCAGAATAGTCCAAACATAGTATGGGGACGATGTTCGAAGTATTATGGAGCATTCTTAAAAGTATACCTTGACAATGTTTTATCTTTCGTCCAAAGTCCGCCTGTAGGGGGACACGCCCGACTTAACAGTGGGCTGTAGACCCTGGAGAGTTCCTTCTCTGACGAGGGCGGCGATGATGCCCATGGCCGATCCACGAGTCGAGCTCCACCCAGCTTCTAGACCCTGGCTTCCTCATCGAAGGCGCCCTCGTCCAATGCCCCCCCCGTGCTGGGCGCCTCTTCGAAGCTGTTGGAGGCCTCGCGAAGCAGCGCGTGGCCACCTCGGCGGCAGGCGCGGCCGCCCGGGCCGCCCCGGAGTGCCCCGGGAGAGGCAGCCCCGGGAGAGGCCGCCCGGGCCGCCCATGGAGCCCGCGGGGGGGCGCGGTGAAGCATGCGGCTCTCGCGCGTGTCGAGGGGGGGGGGCTTCTTATCCCTATGGGATTTTCGACTTTTCGCCAATCGACTTGTGGGGATCGAGCCAGATAAATCCAGGTGAATGTAGATAGGTAAATCCAGGTAGATCCCGGTAAATCGAGGTCAATCTGGGTAAACCCAGGTAAATCCAGAGATCTCCAGGGACAGTTGGAGCAACTCGCGGCCGCTCCAGCGCGAGTCGAAGGACGGCAGAAGTCGTTAAGCCTTTGACGAGCTCAGAAGTCTTACAGGAACCTTGCCAGGCAGCACCTCTCGGCATTCCTGCCACGCGCCAGTGGGCGCGGTGGCGGCTTGCGTGGGGGTGCCTCGTCTCCTGCGTCCTCCTCCGCGACATGTCCCCCTCGATGCGCCCTCTTTGCTCACGAAAGTGGTCAGTTAGGATGCAACTCCCGGGAGGCCAAATTCTGCTTTAGGCCTGGTCCGAAATCCCGTCTAATCCGGCTCAATTTCCAATTCATCCCGCTCAACTTGGCTTAATCCCGCTCCGCTGAATCCCGCTTAAGCCGGCTCAATCCCGCTTGATCCGAGGCCCACTCTGGCGCAACAGCCCCCCCCAATGGGGCTGCTAATCGTCTTTAAAACCTTCCGACGAGAACCCTGGCATCGCTCGGACGTGTGCATTTTTCCTTCGGCGAGGACCATCGGGGAGCATCCTTGATCAGTCGGCGAAAAAAAACACGCACGAAACCGAAAAAAGCACAGGGAATGGACGTCCGAGCGATGGCGAGGAACCTCTCCCAGCAGCTGCCTCCCAAGGTCAGGGCACCGCACTTACCAGCCTGGAACATATCCCTGTCCCTATGCTGGGCACTTCCTCATCACGATGCCGATCTTAGGGGTCCCCTTATTTTTTGTTGAGAGGGCGAATCCCTAAGACTGTCATCGCCTTTTGGCGTGTCGCTCTTAGGGATAGGGATACGTTCGAGGCTGGCACCGCACCCCTCGCTGCACGCGCCTCCCAGTCGACCGCGAGCGCCCCCCACACGCCGCGGCGAGGCGCGGAGCCCGCGGAGCCCCTCGCCGCTCCGCGAGAGCGAGGTGCTCGCGGCGCGCCTCGAGGAGAAGGCGCGGGCCCTCGCCGCGAAGGCCCCCGCCCGCCCAGTCTCGGTGGCCTCCTCCTGCCCCGCGCGCGGTGCCCCTTTGTGCGCCGCTTCGCCCCGCGTCGCCACCGCGCTCGGGCCTGTGAGTGGTTCGGAGGTGGAAGAGGTGCTCATAGTTACCTCTACCCCGTGGGCCAGGTCTCCCCTTTTGGAGCCTCCTGGGAGGCCCTCGTCGCCACCAGGGCTCGAGCTAAACGGTGTTTTGGCAATTTCGTGGACCGTTTTCGTTTTGACTTCGTTTTGCAGCAAATGGGGAACGAAGACAGAGTAGGGATGACGAAAACGAAACGAAAACGGAAAACACTGTTTAACTTGAGCCCTGGTCGCCACCGCTGGAGAGAGGTTGTTGTATCCAATGAAAAAGGTCCATGGGTGTTGCAATCAGTTGCCAAAGAAATGCGGAAGGCAAATGGTGCCCTTCCTTTGGTTGTGGACGGGTGTATGGTGCCCATCCGAGAGGCCGATTGGTGCCTCATCCCAAGAAGAGGCCCATGACGGCCACGACTTGGGTGCGGGATGCCATTTGGTGGCCCCCCTGTGCCCACCCCGTCCCGCTCACAGGGTCTTCACATCCCCCGTATGGTGGTGGGACGGGTGAGCGGTCCGCCTCCCCCTGGGCCGCACGTACTGCCCGAGGTTCGTGGGGATTTGAATTCAAGGCAATGAAGTTTCCCGTTCGCCCCCCTCTCCCTTCCCGTGGGGTGCACAATCCCGACGAAGCCCCCCAAAAAGGAACGGCCCAAAAACCAGAGCCATCCCCGAGCCCAAAGTTGTCCTTATTTCAGCATCTTAACTGCGTGACGCCTGGGTGTGGGCGAGGTGGTGGTTGTGGGAAATCACGGCGCTGATGCTGCCTCGGCGTGAGGAGGAGCGGCAAGTGCGCTGCGGAAGACGATTTTGGTGTGGTTGTTGGACTCGCCGCCGACGGACAATCACGAGCAAGATGACCACGGATACCGCATTGCGGACACAACGGGCCTTCAGGAACCCTATGGTGGCTCCTGGAGCGGCCGCTGGCCCTATGATGGGCAGGGGTCCGCTCCATGTCCCGAGCCCTATGGTGGCTCGTGCCCGTGTCCCGCGTCCGTGCCCTATGGTGGCTACGGCTTCTGCTACGACGTTCCCGTGGACCGTCATAACGAACATCGTCACGAAGACCTCCCCTAGAACGTTGCTGCTCCCCGCCGCCTGCCATGGCAAATAGGCCGACCGAGAATCGGTTGCGCCCGCCGGGACCTACAGAGTTGTCACAAACTACCTGGAGGGAGCCTGAAAGGGCAGCAGAACGCAAAGAAGGCACCAAAACAACCCCTCCCGCCCTCCCCCTTCCAAGTTCCATGAATTCAATGAGGTCAATGTGGGGGCACTGGACGGCCGGCAGGGGAATCAAGTCCCGCCCACGGCCCACACTGGAGAGAGGTTGAAGTATCAAATGAAAAAAAAAAATCCATGAGTGTTGCAATCAATTGCCAAAGACATGCGGAAGGCAAACGGTGCCCTTCCTTTGGTTGTGGACGGGCGTACGGTGCCCATCCGAGAGGCCGATTGGTGCCTCATCCCAAGAAGAGGCCCATGACGGCCACGACTTGGGTGCGGGATGCCATTTGGTGGCCACCCTGTGCCCACCCCGTCCCGCTCACAGGGTCTTCACATCCCCCGTATGGTGGTGGGATGGGTGAGCGGTCCGCCTCCCCCCAGGCCGCACGTACTGCCCGAGGTTCGTGGGGATTTGACTTGAAGGCAATGAAGTTTCCCGTTCCCCCCCCTCTCCCTTCCCGCGGGGTGCACAATCCCGACGAAGCCCCCCAAGAAGGAACGGCCCAAAAACCAGAGCCACTCAAAATTCTGGTCAGAACGCACCCCAGAAGAGGTCCGGGGACCAGCGGTATCGGTACCTTTTGCTCTCCCCTTTAGTATGTGTTCAAGCCGCCTGAGGCGCTTGCAGCGAGCCCTGAACCCTCAGCCGATTCCGACGGCCCGGACTCACTCCACCTCGCCGGGCAGCGCAGGGACTCCGCGGGCACGGGAGTAGGTGCTGGAGGGATACGAGGCGAAGAAGTAGGAAGGGCGCCTTGTTAGTGACCGAGAACCCCGCGTTCCTGAGCTCGTCCCCCGTGCCCAAGTGGAGGGGGAGGAGGAGGAGGAGGAGGAGGAGGAGCAGGTGATTGCGTCGGAGCACGAGGAGGAGGAGGAGGAGGAGGAGGAGGAGGAGGAGGAGGAGGAGGAGGAGGAGTGGATGGCCATGGAAGATGAGAGGCGTCCTGATAAGCTGGAGGAGGACGGGTGGAAGCAAGAGGAGGCGCCACAGTAGCAGCAGGAGCAGGAGGAGGGCGCAAAGAGGGAGGAGAAGAGAGATGCTGAAGGAGAAGGATGGATAGAAGGGATGATGGAGGAGCAGGAAGATGCCGAGGAGCACGAGTCGGGGAATGATGACGAGGGAAAAGAAGGAATTGAGCTTACGGAGGACGGAGAGCAGCGTCAGCAGGAGTAGGAGGAGGGAGGAGAACAGCGATGGTCAAGTGGGAGCTGGAGATAGAGAAAGAATGGAGGAGGCGCAAGTTCATCACGCGCGAGGGAAAACAGAGAGATACTGAGGAAGAGAGAAAGCGAGAGAGAGAGAGCGAGAGGCAGACGGACAGAGATAGAGTCTGAAGCGAAGATGAAAGAGGCAATGCTGTGTGCCCCTTTCTCTTGAAGCGTCGCGACGGACGACGGGCCTTGACGCACGCGTCCCACAATCACGGCATGGGGACGCTGGCGCGCTCCTTCTGCCTTAAGCCGCCGAGAGAGACAGAGAGAGAGAGAGAGACAACAAAAACAACAACAAAAACAAGTGGACAACCGATCAGCACCGAACACCCGCACACTTCCCGCTTGCGCAGACCCGTTTCAGAGCAGCCGCGCGCTTGTGAGGCGACAGTCGAGCTCCTGCGTCTGTCGTCGCTCCGTGTGCAGTGGCAGTCGGTTGCTTGCGTTCCTCCTCGCTTCTCCTCCGGAAGTCAAGAGCTGAGCAAGAAACGCACTGCCCTGAAGATCTGGCCGCGGGAGGAGTTTGGGGACGGGGCCCTATGTCCAAACTCATTCCGAGAGGCCCAGGGTTTGGGGCTGGGCCGTGCTTCGGTCGGCGAATCGGGAGAGAGAGAGAGAGAGAGACTACACTATAGATCTATACTTGTATATCTATATATATATATATATATATATATATATATATATGTAGAGAGAGAGAGGGAGAGAGAGAGAGAGAGAGCAAACAACAATGAGCGAAAGACGAGAGAGCGAGAGAAGAGAGAGGAAGAGAAGAGAGAGCGATAGAAGAGATATAGAGAGAGAGAAAAGAGAGACGGAGGAGGCACGAGAGAGGGCAGGAGTGAGGAGGTACGAGCGAGAAAGGAGGCCCGATATATATAGAGAGAGAGAGGGAGAGAGAGAGAGAAAGAGATAGAGAGAGAGAGAGAGAGAGAGAGAGCCGCGCGCCGCCGCCCAGGCCACCGAGCGCCCGCGGAGGTCCAGCGCCCTGGCCGGCTTCAAGGCCGGCGGCCCGCCCCCCCCGCGGCGCCCCTGTGGGCTCGGCGCCGTTGACGTCGCAGCCCCGGCAGGGGAGGAGGCAGTTGCAGCGGGCGCCGCGTGCCGTCGGGCCGAGGTGGAGGAGGAGGAGGAGGAGGAGGAGGAGGAATGGGAAGAGGAGGAATGGGAAGAGGAGGAGGAGGAGGAGGAGGAGGAGGAGGAGGAGGAGGAGGAGGAGGAGGAGGAGGAGGGGGAGGAGGTGGGGTCGGTTCGGGGAGGGTGCCCTCGTGCTCGTCGTGCTTGTCGGGTGCTCCTGTGCGCGCCTCGGCGGGCGGAGGGCCTCACGTTCTCGAGGGGTGCTCATCTGGCCTGGGTCCGACTGTGATTCAGGAGAGGAAAAAACACACAGACACAATTACACAAAATATAGGAAAATATGGGAAGTGGGGGGGGGGAAGAGAACAACCCAGAAAATATTGGAAAATATGGGGAATCCTGTTATTTGTGTGTATTTATGTGTGTGTCCCAGGGCCCTTTCAATGAAGAGGTGCGCGTCCCACCTCCGTCGTTTGTCGCCCCCCCTCCACCCCTTAAGCAACGCCCAGGAGAAGGAGGACGCTCGCCTCCCGCAGGTTGGTTTGGGCGGCGTTCCGAGCTTGCCCGGGGGGCACAGTTGTTGGCCAGTGTTCTGCAGCGGGAAGAGGGCCCGGGAAGAGGACACGGAGTGGAGGGGGGGGGATAAGGGGGGGAGCATGCGACGGGGTAGGAGGAGAAGGGTGCGGGGCATTAGGAGGTGGAAGGGGGTGAAGATCCGTTACCCTCTCCCCTCATACTTGTTTTGTTCCCCCTTGCATCTCCCTCTGTCCCCTTACTACCTCTCCTCCTCGTACCCTTTTCGGCGCCTTGTCTTGTCGTCCTCCTTGCCCCCCTTTCCCCCTCCCCGCGTGGGAGGACGAGGGGGAGGGGGAGGCGGATCAGGTGGGGATGATGTGCGCCAGAGGAAGGAAGAGGAGGATGGGAGGAAGAGATGGTGGGAGAAGGTCAGTGAGGAGCTGGAGAGAAGGACAGGGAGAGTACAGTGGGGGCGTGTGCCAAGAGACCAGTTGGATTTGGCCAGGGTGCCCTGAGTTTCTTGGACTTCGATGGGTCCACAATAAGATCTGGATGAATTTCGATCGACATATTTGGGCTTTCATGGAACAGATCGCAGCTTTCAGGGTTGGGTTTCTTGCGGAGGTTTCTTGTGGCCGAGCCCCCACTGTAGGGGAATTAAGACACGGCGTAGCAGGAGCGGCTGCACGAGCAGCAAGGGGACGAAGCGCATGCCACACGGACCGACACATCGTGCGCGATCCTCACAGGGGTCGGGAAGACGAGCACCCGTCAGTATGAGAAATGGTCGCCAGCATGGATCGGATGGATCGTCAGTATGAGGAATGGATCGTCAGTATGCGGAATGGATCGTCAGTATGTGAACGTGCGCCCCAAGCCGTTGATTTTTGCGCCCTCGATGTGTGCTCTATCTGGTGCAATCTACGGGAGGCAAAATATGAGGTGCCACATACTTGGTGCACTCAACCAGTGTTCACTGGTGAGTTGGCAATTCCGTGGCTCGCACAACCATCCCACCCTCCCACCCGCAACTTGTGTTGCACAACCCCTGCGGCCGTGATTGCGGCGACTCCTTTGCGCTGGTTGGCGCATCTTTGCGGCTGCGCTTGCGCGCGCAAGCTCGCTCGCAGAGCGGCCAGCCCGTTTGGCGCAACCGATGCGGCTGCGATGGCGCTTGCCGATGGCAACTCCTCAGCACGTCTTTCAAGCCGCGCTGGCGCGCGGGCACTTCCTTGCGGGTTGGTGACTCGGGCGGGCGCGGCAGTATGGTGGCGTTGACAAAGACGGCAACGATGCTGACAGTAGCGATGGTGGTGGCGATGATGTCGATCACGGCAGCGTGGCCAATGGCGGCGCCGATGCTGGCGACAACTCGGCAACGGCGGCGATTGCGATGACGATGCATTGGTGGTGCGGCCCTGGTGAGGGTGATGGTGAGGAAGCGCGCCCGCGAAATTTTCATAAACCTGGCAGGCCATTTGTTGAAGCTCACTTGGCTGTTCAGCATGGTTTGAAGAGATCTATCTTGAAATGCGTCGGAAACGATTGGTTTTTGAAGGATTTCCGCACGCGCGCGTGGCGGCGCGCGCGTGGGGCGTGCACGGCGTTACTTCATACGGGTTCGCGCACTGGGCGCGTGCTGGACATCGCGTGTGCACCGCGCGGTGACATGGGCATACGGGTTCTGAGCGATATCTTAAAAACATCATATGTTTTTTGTATGTAAGTGCGTGCAGCAGCGGCGCCCGCGCCCTGGCGGCTCCAGGAGCTCGTTTTCCTCCCCCCTCCCCGAGCGGCCGCTCATGTCCGCAGCCACGGCCCCGCGGTCCGGACTCCGCGGCGCGGCCCCGCGGCTGCGCGGTCGCACGGGCACGCTCCGCACGGGGCGTCCGCAGCGTGCTCCTCTCGCCTTCACCGCCGTTCCCTCTTGCGCCTCCTCCCCCGCCGACTCCGTCGGCTCCCCCTCGCCCCGCTCCCCCTCGCCCCCTCGCCCCCTCGACTTCGTCCCCTCGCCCCCTCCCCCCCCCCCCCTCGCCCCTTCGCCCCCTCGCCCCCTCCCCCCCCTTTTCCCCCCCATCACCCCTCTCCGCCGACTCCGTCGCTCCCCGCCCGCCCTCCCGTCGCCCGCCCTCCTCCTGGCGGTGGCGAGGGCGGAGCCTCCGCCGGCCCTCGGCAGGCCTCCCTCGACACCGACAAGCCGAGGCCCGTCGAGGCCCGCGCCTCTGCGGCGTGCCCTCCCTCCGCGGGCCGCCCGCCTCTCCCGCAGGGCGCCGCGCGCCTGTGAAACGAGCGCTGTCCCGGCCAGTGCTGCACCCTCCCCAGGAGGAGGAGGAGGAGGAGGAGGAGGAGGAGGAGGAGGAGGAGGAGGAGGAGGAGGAGGAGGAGGAGTGAAAAAATCACGACGGGAGGTCTTTCGCTGTTGTCGGCCTGTGGGGGCCCTCGCCGGGCCTCGGGACCGTCGGAAAAGGCCACTCAGGATGGAAAACCGGTCCCGGGCAAAGGGTCCGGAGCTCCGGGGGTCGCGTCATGAAGAGATCCTGGTCCCGGAGAAAGGGTCCCGGGGGAAGGGTCCCAGGAAAGGGTCGCAGGATGGAAAACCGGTCCCGGGGAAAGGGTCCCAGTCCCGGGGGAAGGGTCCGGAGCTCCGGCGGTCGCGTCATGAAGAGATCATGACGTCGGGGGTTTGGGCCAGGCGCCCAGCGGGTCGCGGATGCCCACAGTGCGCCACACGCGCCCTTCGATGGCCTCAGAGGGGCTCGGACGGCCACGGGTGGCAATGCGCCGTGAGTCCCGGCGCCACGGACTGGCTGGCGCGTTTTCGGCGACTCGTCTTCGGCATTGGTAATATTGTAGCGCCGCTGCTTTTGCAGCGGAGCAAAAACCAGCGGTCCATCTGGCTTCAGCTTCCGATGGCTCCGCTCTCGCGCAGGGCATACCAGGAGGAACGACGAAATGACGGGTTCCGTCGTCCAGGTTTCGCAGGAGGAGGTAGTACTAAGCAGCTTCTGGTGGTTCAGGAAGCGCGTGCCTCGTTCATCTACAACATGGTTGCGATACAAAGGGAAGCGATCCGACCCATTGTCCCTGTAGACAGAGAAGGCATTGCACGAGCGAGTAATCAAAAAGGTCAAGCCAGAGATCCAGTATTTCGCGGCGCCTATAATGAAGAACAGCGGCGAAGATGATGCCCGGGGGATCGCTTATTTTCTGCGTGACCCCAGGTGACTACCAAGCTTGTTCATGTTCTGCTACACGGAAGAGTGACCTTTCGCCGGAGTGACCCTTGGTGCGGGCCCAATCGAGCCCCCCGATCGTCGAATGCGATGCACTAGCAGCGACGTGCGCGCCTGGAAGTGCCCCCTTGGGCCGCGGACCCCAAAGGTCACTCTTGCTTAAGGTCACTCTTGTGTTTAGCCGACAAGTATGCGAGCCTCGAATATGAATAGAATATTGGAGCCTGGAGGCGTCCTCGCACGTCCACGCAGTTTCGCATCCGACAACCTTCCCGACGCCCTTCCCCACGCCCAGCCCGACGCCCAGCCCGATGTATCGGGCGGGCTGACCACCGCCACACCCGACGTTTCCTCCTGGAGGTCCCACGGCGGGCGGGGGATGGGCTGGATCTGGCGCTCTATGATGCCCGAATGGTTGCGACTTCTCGCTATTGGCGTAGTGCCTTGTGGGTGTGATCTACTGCTAGCACCTGCAAATTCCTCAGCGCTCGCGAGCTCTCGTTCGTGCCGTGGTGCCTTTCGGGTGATGCTCGATGGTTGGTTGGTGCCGAGCGATTCCTCAACTAATGCAAGTGATCGTTCTGGCCATAGTGTTTTGTGGGTGGTGTTTCTTGGCTGGCACAATGAAGTGGCTTGGCGATTTCGAGTTCTTGCGCTTGTTTCTGTGCCCTGTGGGGCTACGGGTGGTGCACTCTGGCTGGCGCCCATTGATGTCTCAACAATGTGTGTGTGTGACTTATCGTGATTGTCCCGTTTCACGATGAGCAACGCTATGGGATTTACACGCTATGCCGATGAGTATCGGATGATTGTGTTTGCTTGGATGTTTTAAGAGTTAAATGGGCTACGCGTCACGGTACTTGAAGTGTCGCGATATGTTGTTAACCATTGGTGTTGAGTTTGCCATCGTGTCCCACGGGTATGGCTTGTGGCTGGTGCCATATGATCCACGGGGTGTTGCGGTTTCTCGTCGTAGACTTGGCGCCGCAGGGGTGTCGCACTATGGCGTGTGGAACTTCATGGGCGAGGACGGCAGAACACTGGGCTACTGGGCCATGCGGCCAGTTGGAACCCCAACGTTAGGAACCCGATGGCGAGGGGGGCTTGGACTGGAGGGATTGGGCGAGCTTCTTAAAGCAAGCCTGCGAGCCCCAAGAGCAGATCCTGTTTAAGGACCTGTAGGGGTCTCCCCAGGGCTTGGCATTACTGACACCCCACGGTGACCTTGTCATTCAGGGCCGTCAAACACGAACCCCCTCACGCAGCTGCAAGCACCTGTCGGGAGGGGAACCTCTTTCTTGCAGAAGGGTCGTTCAGTAACTTGCGTTGCGGCCCTGCTATGGTAGCCTTCATCTGCTGTCTCCCCCCAGTTCCACAAACCGCGCACACTAACACTTCCCGATAGCTGGTTGTCCTCACCCTCCTCCCCTCCTCCGTAGCCGCCCCCCGTCCCCCTGACCCGCTTGAGGCCCTCTTGCAGCCACCCTCCCCCATCCTCCTGTCATCCTCTTTCTTCCTCTTTTTGCCGAGGCCGTCCATCCATTCATCGCTCCTCGCTCCTCCTGCTCCTCACCCTCTCCTCTCGTCCTCCTCGTCCTCCATCCCTCCTCCTCGCTCGTGCTCTTCCGCCTCCCGCCCCACTCCTCCCCTTCCACTTCCTGCCTCAGGTCGGGCGTGTCCCTCTACAGGAGGAAGATCCAAACATAGTTTTAAAAAATCGTCTGGGGACTTTTTTTGTACATAAAGCATGCTTGACCGTTTTGGGTTACCTATCTGTTTGGACTACCTGCAGTGTTTCCTCCGAGATCCGCCCGTAGGAGGACACGCCCGACCTGACTCCTGCCCCGCCGGGCCGCCCCCCGCCTCGTCGCGAGGCCCGCCCCACGCCGACCTTCCACAAGGAGCCCGCGCGCTTCCGAGTCGGGCAGCGGGTGGTGCTGAACGGCGTCCACGAGGGCACCGTGCGGCACGCCGGGAGGGGGAATGGGTGGGGGGGGGCCCGTGGCTCGGGAGCTCTCAGGGGGGGGGGGGGGGGGCTCGGGAGCTGCGGGGGAGGAGGGGGGGGGGAGGGGGAGGGGAGCAGGAGGAGGAGGAGGGGGAGGGGAGGGGGAGGAGGGAGCGGGAGGAGGGGAGGACGAGGCGTGCGAGGCGCAGGAGGAGGAGGAGGAGGAGGAGGAGGAGGAGGAGGAGGAGGCGAAGACCTGGGTCCCAGTCGGGATGCAGCGGCCGATAGAAAGAGAGAGAGAGAGAGAGGGAGGGAGAGAGAGAGAGAGAGAGTAAGGCAAAAATGGGTGCGAGACAACAAGAGGGTGTGAAAGACAGAGAGGGGGAGAGCGAGAGAGAGACTTGAAAGTCATAGACATGCACATCTACATACATCGGCATGTACATGTATATAGAAAGGAGAAAACACGAACTTGGTGAAGGGATATGGTGGACAACGAAGGAGGCAAGATGAGGAAGAGGATGAGGGGAGAAGTGGGATGAGGAGGAGGGGTGCATCGAACAACGATTCAGAGCATGTGGGGGATGGGCGAACGGGGACCAGGATGAACGACGAACGGAGTAGCAACCCGGAGACTGCAGAGGAGGAGGAGGAGCAGGGGGGAGCTGAGCAGAAGGTGTATGTGGCAGGCGAGGGGGGCGGAGAAGAACGAGAGGGAGGAGGGACGGGGGAAGAGGAGGAGGAGGAGGAGGAGGAGGAAGGAGGAAGGAGGAAGAGGAAGAGGAAGAGTCGGAGGTTGATAGACCTCCTACCCTGACACGTCGATTAGCGAATAGGCCGTTTTCGGTTCGCGAGAGGGCGTCGCGGCCGTCATGTTTGCGGGTCCAGGTCCGTGGATTTTGGTCCCAGGCCCTTTTCACTCAAGGGTGTTTTACTAAAGGGATGTTTGTCCACCGCCGAAAGAGGTTTGGGGCATTCTGCTTTTTGGGCTTGCATCGTCGCCTGCTTACTTTCATGCTTCTTATTCGTTGTATTATTATTGTAAGTATGACTCGTCCTCTTCATCGTGCTGCAGTGAGAGAGCAGGGTCGCAGAGCAGGTTGCAACGCATGTAGTGCCATGTGTCTCCTTCCGTATGCGTCCTTGGCTCATGGTGTCGGGAGTAAAAGCCCTCGACTGAAGCACGCTCAATCGGGCCAGGTGCCCCTGAAAATGGGGACGGAGCAGGAGGAGGGAGCAGGAGGAGGGCAAGGCGAGGCACGTGAGGTGGAGGAGAGAGAGGAAGAGAAGGCAACGAGCTGGGTCCCAGCGAGGGTGCAGCGGCCGATAAAGTGAGTGAGGGAGAGAGAGAGAGAGAGAGAGAGGGAGAGAGAGAGAGAGGGAGAACAAAAAAACAGAGAAATTGAGAAACAAAACAAACAGAGAGAGCGAGAGAGAAAGCGAGAGAGAGAGAGAGACAGAGCCAGAGAGAATGAGACATAGAGAGAGTGCGTGGCAGAAACGATTGCGAGACAAGCATAGGGTATGAAGGAGAGAAAGGAAGAATTCCAACGCACATACATGCACATACACACATATATGCTTATATGTAAGTATCTGAAAAGGAGAGGGAAGACGAGAGGGTTACATATATTCCCCAATCAGAGCTTGCATCTGTAGGGGTCCTAGCGGATTCATATGGTTAGGTGAGGTTCGTCTCCGATTTCGGTGGCTGGCACGGGTGCCCAGGTGCCTGGGTGCCCGGGGGTGTCCGGGTGCCCGGGTGCCCAGGGTGCCCGGGGGTGCCCGGAGGTGTTGGTGGGTGCCCGGGTACCCGGGTGCTTTATCGCCTTACAGCCCTATAGCCTATAACCCTGATAACCCTATAGTCCAATAGCCCTATAGCACTATAGCCCTAAAGCCTTATAGCCTTATAGCCCTATAGCCTTATAGCCCTATAACCCTATCGCCCTATAGCCCTGTAGCACTATAGCCCTATAGCACTGTAGCCCTGTGGCCCTATAGCCCCATAGCCCTATAGTCCCATAGCCCTATAGCCCTATAGAGCCCCATAGCCCTATAGCCCTAAAAACTTTATGGTCGGGGCTTTTCCCCGGCATCATATGTATATGTATGTATTGATATGCGAGACTGCATTGGCGCTTCGCGCCATGCACCTTGGTCCTTGAAATTTGGCGTACAGGCGGAATGGCAGAAAGGTCAAACAGACAATTCAGCGATGACTCCTTGTTGCTTTTTCCGGCATCGCCGTTATAATCATGTTATTCGTTACCCTTCCTCCATGTTTCTTTTTCCTAATTTTCGCCCTACGCTGCGAATTCTTCCCCATCCTCCTCAGCTCGTTTTGCGGAGGCTCCTCCTTGGAGAGCCTCTGGGGACCTCACGGAAGTTTTTCAGAGGCCATTTTGGGCCGTCATGGGATTCTTTTAGGCCGTCATGGGGCTCTTTTTACCTAACAGCTTGTTCTGATAGGTTTCTAGTGGTGTCAAAAGAGAGCAGCAGATGACTCCACAGGGGGTTCTGGGCGGGTGCCGGACAGGGTGCCGCAGAAGTCGTTTTAAGCCGACAGTCACACACTTCGTGCTCTTCGACCTCCCAGAACTCCATTCCCGGGCCACATTCTGAATGCCCGGAGCCAACTGTAGGCCACTTCGTGCTCTTCGACTTCCCAGAACTCCATTCCCGGGCCACATTTTGAATGCCCGGAGCCAACTGTAGGTCACTTCGTGCTCTTCGACTTCCCAGAACTCCATTCCCGGGCCACATTTTGGATGCCCGGAGCCAACTGTAGGCCACTTCGTGCTCTTCAAGTTCCCAGAACTCCATTCCCGGGCCACATTTTGAATGCCCGGAGCCAACTGTAGGCCACTTCGTGTTCATCTATTTCCCAGAATTCCACTCCTGGGCCACATTTTGAATGCTGAGGCAGGCTGATGCTGCGGCCGAGGCAGGCTGAGGCTGAGGCAGGCTGAGGCTGAGGCCGAGGCTGAAGGCAGACTGAGGCTGAGGCTGAAGCAGACTGAGGCTGAGGCTGAGGCAGGCTGAGGCTGAGGCTGAAGCAGGCTGATGCTGAGGCAGGCTGAGGCTGAGGCTGAGGCTGATGCAGGCTGAGGCTGAGGCAGGCTGAGGCTGAGGCCGAGGCTGAAGGCAGACTGAGGCTGAGGCTGAAGCAGGCTGAGGCTGAGGCTGAGGCAGGCTGAGGCTGAGGCAGGCTGAGGCTGAGGCTGAGGCAGGCTGAGGCTGTGACTGCGACTGCCGTTGCCGCTGCGACTGTCATCGCGAATGCGACTACGACTGCGAGAACAGCAGAATTCTACAACTGGATTTTCATCTGAATCTTAAGGGGAATGCTTTCATATATGCTTCTACACATCGCTGTTAGGTTGCTTCGCCGGGATAATATACCCCTAAAGATTGCCCCAAAATGTACCAAGAGGCCTCCAAGAGCACCCCCCAAGAAGGCCCCTAGAGAGAAAAACATTGATTTAATTTAGGCTTTTGGTGAATTTGGGGTTCTCCTCGTTTTGGCTTCCCGACGCTCCAAGACGGCGGTCTTCTGGGCGTCCGAAGCCGCCTGGGAGGCTCCAAGATCGCCCCCTAAACCATCCGAAAGGGCTTCCAGGCAGTCCGAGAGAGCTCCAAGACGGCACAACAGGCTGTTGTGCCGTCATTGGGGCTCTCTCGGACTGCCCGGAAGCCATTTCGGATGGTCTGGGGGGCGTTCTTCGAGCCGCCAGGGCGGCCGCGGACGCCCAGAAGACCGAAGAACAGAGCATCCCCAAAATCATGCAGAAACCTTGGGCATATTCAATACTTTTCTGCGTCGGGGACGCTTCTTTGGGGTCTTCGTTGGGTCGTCTTCGGGCGTCTGGTGGGTGTCCGGGGGGGCGTGCGGCCGCCTTCCCGACCGAGTTGGGCCTGTTGCCTAGGCCCAGCAAAGGCCTCCAGGAGCTCTGCAGCGCCTGGGGGGGCTCCCTGCAGGGGCGTCCCGGGGGTCCCTGGGCCACAGAGATGGAAGGTCCAGAGGATCCCGGGGGACCTGGATTCGGTGGGGCCGATTTCTGGGGGGTGGGGTCCCCGGTAATACATATATATATATATATATGTATATATATATATATACATATGTACAAACATACATATATATATATATATATACATGTACACATACATGTATACATATACATGGGGATAACAAGAGACAAAGAGAGACACCGACTATGGTGAAGGGGTCTGGTGGACAACGAAGGAAGCAAGAGAAGGAAGAGGATGGTGGGAGAACGGTGATGAGGAGAAGGGATGTATCGAACAACGATTAGGAGCAGGTAGAGGATGCGTGATGAGGACCAGGGTGAACGAGGAACGGAATAATTTCCTGGAGGCTGCGGAGGCGGAGGAGGAGAAGGAAGTGGCTGAGCAGGGGGGAGCGAAGCAGAAGGTGTATGTGGCATACGAGGGAAACGGAGAAGGAGGACAGGGAGGAATGAGAAGGAGGAGGAGGAGGAGGAGGAGGAGGGACGGGGGAGGATGAAGAGACGGAGGAGGAGGAGGAGAAGGACGGGGAGGAAGAGGTTTGGAACATTCTGCAGTTTGGCTACAGCTTGCATCGCCGTGGCATTCCAACGCTGCTAGGGAGTTCTTGGCGTCTGCTTGCGTGCAGGGTAATCTTTTTCTTGCCAGCTCACCACTGCCGTGCGCAAGACCATGTGAATATGACCAGCGTTTGCCAACATTGCGTTTCCAGGGCATCCGCACGGGCCTCCAAGGCCGTCCTCCCCCTCCTTGGCCGCAGCCGGCCCTTGCGTGATCACCTGCTCCTTTCCCAGCCCGCGGCTCCGAGGTACGTCGGCCCGACAAACTTTGCGGATGGCGACTGGGTTGGTGTTGAGCTTTTCGGGGAGGACCCAAGCCGCGCCTGTCTGGAAGAAGGGCAAGTAAGTCTTCTCGTGTCACAGTCTGCGTTTGTGCTGGAGCACTGCGTCCGCAAGCAGACAGTTCCTCGGGAGGGGGTACTGCTAATTTTACCAGCCTCGAACTTATCCCTATCCCTAAAATTGACACCCCAAAAAGCGATGACAATCTTACGAATGCGCCCTCAAAAAATAAGGGAATCCCTAAGATTCGCATCGTGATGAGGAGATGCCCAGCATAGGGATAGGGATATGTTCCAGGCTGGTAATAATTTGCCGCCGGGGAGGGAAGAGTGGGCAGGCAGACTGTTTTCGCAGACGGCGCGGGGCGCACTCATGGAACATCGTCCTCATTCGTGCGCCAAGGGCAGCACTGCTTCTCGCTGGGCCCGACCCGTGACTCCCCGCCGCCACTCTCTTTTCTCCGAGAAGCGGGGTGCGCTTGGTGGCCACATCCTCCGCATAGGCTGGGCCTCTTTCCAGGGGGAGGGGGGGGCAGGGGAATCGCGTTGTCCACGCCGTCCTGATCCCGCGACCCGCCAGGGACCCGCCCGGCGCCTCGCCTCGCCCCAGCTGCTCCGCGACCCGCCCCGCGACGCGCCCACCGCACAGCGACCCGCCCACGACCCGGAGGGAGGGGAAGCGATGCCAACACCACCAGGGGGCCCACCGCCAGCGAGGAGGTCCACGATGCCTCTCCCAGCTGGAGGCTGGGGAGGTCTCGAGCGAGAGGGGGGGACCGCGCCACCAGGGAGTCCCCCCTTGCCTCCTCGCACCTCCTCGCCCTGCTGGTGTTGGTGTCGCCTGTCCTTGTTCCCAGCGACTGGCGCCCCGCGGCCCGCCCCGCGGGCCCGCGGCGGCCCGCCTGCGACGCGCCGACGGCCGGTTCCACGACCCGCCGCGGCCTGCTTTCGGTCCGCGCCCCTGTGAGATCGCCCTCGGGTCTGTGGGATCGTGTGCCCCCCTCCGCGTGATGCGCTGTGATGCTGCTGCTGCTCCTCCTCCTCCTCTCCTTCTTCCTCCCCCTCCTCCTCCTCCCCCTCCACCTCCTCCCCTCCTCCTCCTCCTCCTCTCCTCCTCCTCCTCCCCTCCTCCTCCTCCTCCTCCTCTCCTCCCCCTCCTCCCCCTCCTCCTCCTCCTCCTCCTCCTCCTCCTCCTCCTCCTCCTCCTCCTCCTCATTGCCTCTCAGTCGCTGTCCTCGTTTCGTTCATGGGCCATCCTCCCTCATTCGGCCTCCGCCGGCGACGTTCCTGAGCCATTGCTGAATGCACTAGACACTCAAACCAATCGTGTGACCCCCGAACCTTTATCCCCTGCTCCTCCACCTCCCTCCTCCCGCCTTTCCCTTTGCCTCCAGATACAGTGCATAGAGTATGTCGCTGTGCCCGGGTTATCATTTGCAGGCGAGCAACTATCACTTCTGTTGACGTCCGCCTTTCTGGTTTCACCCTTTGGGTAGTGGTGATTGTTGGGCAGTTGCCCGATGCTGGTTGTAAGGTGGATCCCTTTGCCCCCCACCACCCTGAACCCTCCTTTTCCCCTCCCCGTTACTATCCATTCCGCTGTCCCTCCCAGCGTTCCTGGAACACCAAGCGAGGATCCTGAAACGTGATAATCCTTCTCCCCTGTTCCTCCTCGCCTCCTCCTGGTCGTTGCCCGCCACCCTTCCTCATGCAATAATCCTTCTTGTCCTTGTCATCGGCCTCCTCCTCCTCCTCCTCCTCCTCCTCCTCCTCCTCCTCCTCCTCCTCCTCCTCCTCCTCCTCCCCCTCCCCAGCCCTAGTCGTCCATCCGCCTTATCCCTCCTCCCCTTCCTCCTGCCATGATCCTTCTTGGCTTTGCCATCGGTCTCCTGGTCCTCTTCCTCCTACTTTCCTCCGGCATGCCGTCGGAGTGAACCCGTAGCGTCCTCCTCCTCCTCCTCCTCCTCCTCCTCCTCCTCCTCCTCCTCCTCCTCCGCCTCGCTGTGTTGGTCCTGCCCCCACCCAACCACTCTCGGCGGTTTGAACATGGGGCCTTGAGGGATGGGGCTCTGAGGACAGGGGACAGGACGGGATCCCAGGTTGAATCTGCACGGCTTGGGGCCCCTCGCGCTTGGGGCAGAATCCCTCAGAGTCCGATCTTTGCAACGCCGACCCCGCTGCCCGACGAGACCCCCCCACCCCCCCGAGAGGACGGCGAGCACGACGGCACCTACCTGGGCCACGAGTACTTCAGCTGCCCCGCGGGCAGAGGCCCTCCGGGTGCGCGGATGAGCGCCGAGTCATCGCAGAGGTTCTTTGACGTTGCCCTCCCCCCCTTTCCCCCCCCCCGGCAGTCACGCTCGTGCCTCCCCTCCTCGCCCTCCCCTTCCCCCTCCTCCTCCCTCGTCCTTCCACGCTCGCTTCCGAGCGTGTACAGGGCCGACAGGGGAGGACGAGGAGGAGGGCGCAGATGGGCGAGAGGCAGGGACGACGTTGCATGTCAAGGTTTCGCTGCAGTCTCCTCGGGCAGCTTGTCGTAAAGGGTTTCGATATCTCTTTTTCATAGAAACACACATATATACACAGACACGTGCATACACATACATATATATATATATATATACATATGATATATTTATATTTATATATATACATATAGATATTTGTTTCTCTCACACACAAATATTCCTCTTCCTAGATTGTTATAAGCCTGGGCGGGGGGAACCCATCCCCCCCCAAAGAAACGGACTCCTGGGATCTGGGGCTTTGGGGCGCTCCGGACGGGCATCACGAGAGCCCGAAGACGGCCCCAGACGGGTTCCAGGCGTTCCGGCGCGCTCCCGAAACGACCCCAGAGAGCTCCAATACGGTCCATGACGACCCCCAAGAAGCCGTCATACCCCGAAAGATCGCTCCATATTGTACCAAGAGGCCACCAAGAGCACCCCCTAGAGGGAAACATCATTGATTTTATGTAGGTTTTTGGTGAATTTGGGGTTCTCCTCTTTTTGGCTTCGCGACGCTCCAAGACGGCGGTCTTCTGGGCGCCCGAAGCCGCCTGAGAGGCTCCAAAATCGCCCCTCTACCATCCGAAAGGGCATCCAGGCTGTCCAAGAGAGCCCCAAAACTGCACAACAGGGGTCCAAGATGGCCCTAAGAGAGCCCCATGGCGGCCCAAGATGGCCCCAAGACACCCTCCGAAGCATTCCAAATCGTGACCGGGGCGTTCAGGGAGACCGCGGTTAGAGGCAGGTTGGCCTGGGGAAGTCCCGTAGGCCCCCAGAACGTGCCCAGGAGGCCTCCAGAGGGTTTTAAGAAAGCCTGAGGACTTTGGTGAGGCCCCCAGAGGCTCTCCAAGGAGGAGCCTCCGCAAAAAGAGCTGAGGCGGATGGGGAGGATGCCCAGGGTTTGGCGAGAATGAGGAAAAACAAGCATGGAGGAAGAATAACGAATAACATTATGAGAACGGGGATGCCAGAAAAGGCAGCAAGGAGTTATCGCTGAATTGTCGGCTTGACCTTCCTGTAATGTCCGCCTGCATACCAAACTTAAAGGAACATGTTGCATGGCGCGAAGCGCCACTGCAGTCTTGTATACATATATATATATATATATATGAATACACAGATACATAGATATAGGTATTTATGTATATGTGTACATATGTATATAAACATATATGTGTGGATACGTATATACATATCTACACAGGTATGTATACATGTATATGTATATGTGTATATATATGTGTAAACGCATATGGGTATACACATGCATACATGCACATACATGTATATGTATATGTGTGTGCATCAGCCCCTAGGTTTTTCTACGCCCAGTGAGGGTGCATGGCTCGGACCCCCGAACTCGGTGGCCCATCGTTGCCCCCGATCGTGGCCCCCTTTCCGTGCAAGTGTGCAAAGCTGTCGGGGTCTTCTGCCGCAAGGGCCTCATCTTGACGCCCCGCGTGGGCACAGACGAACGGCCGAGTGCGAAAGGTCGTGGGCTGCCATGAGCTCCGAAACTCCCAGAACGCACCCTGAGCGATGGATTCCCTTCGGGGATCTTCCGTTAACATTGGAACGATACAGAGAAGATTAGCATGGCCTTTGCGCACGGATGACACGCACAAATCCAGAACTGTAAGCAATTTTTAAAACAAGAAAACGCACCCTGAGCGAACCGCATCCTTCCCGTCTTGGGCAGCTACGTGGCGTGTAAGATTCAGCAGGGTGCAGAAACAGGCCCGACTGTTTCACGACTGCGTTTCTGGGTTGCCTGATCTGCTTTCCGCCCTAGGAATTTCTGCAAGGTATTGGGCAGAGTGAAGTGCGTGCTGACATTGCTGCAGGCACGCTAACTACCGAAGATGGTGTGCGCCGCTGCTCCTTCCGAGAAGACGAACATGCCGCCCCCTGGGCGGATGTTCCCTTGGACATGTCTTAAGTCGTAGACCTTCCCTCTGCAGAAGGAATCGGCATCCCCCGCCGCCGCAAGAGTCGCATCACACTTGCGATTGGTCGCAGGAAAACCCCAATTTACCTGTGGTAGGTCGGCGGTGGCCCCGCCCTCCTTTGCAATACGACGTAATGTTCGTTCCCACGGCACTTGATGTGTCGACGCAGGTGTGCTATGGTCAACACATAGCATACATTTCTGTCTGGCGCCACCTTTCTGGAGGAGGATGAACAATGCGCGATCCAGTGGTGCGCCATCAAGTAGTTCAATGAGTGCTTGCAGGCTCGGAAAAGCCCACAATGAGCCCTGAGCCGCACGGGGCTACCCCGAGCTCATCAGCCAAACGGACCCCCCAATGAACAGCGCTGAGTGCGCTGTTTACGACTAGCCATCACACGTATGTACTTTAGTGTTGCGATTTGGTGCATGGGAATTTGTTTTGCCATGGGTTGTGCTTTGTTTCCGCTGTCGTTCGTCGCGTTGGTGTCTTCCTCGTTTACGCCCTTCTCCGCCCCCCATCTCGGAATACTTTTGCTGGGGCGTTTGGCAGTAGCGGTGCGCAGGCACGTCCAGCGGCTGCGGCGGGAAGTCCAACAGTGTTCTGATGTTTTCAACCGCTCCTGCTACCACCACTGCCAGCACCGAGTGCCACCAATCACACGGAGAAATGTGTCGGGCATGTTCTGTTCTTCGAGGGTAACGACGATAATGCGGACATGAAGCGGCCCATCGGAGGGATTACCTCCAACAGTTCTCGATGCATGCGCTTTACTCAAGATTCGGGAAAGGGGAATGACAAGGAAGGGTGGATATTATGGACGTGTTTCGCTTGAATGCGTTGCCTCGGGACCGAGGTGTGGCCCCAGATATCCATGCAGGTAGTTTGTAGCCGGTTTGGCTCGAGCCGTTTGGTTCAAGCAAAGGTCTGATCATGTGTCCTTCCGGTGATGCACACCACGCCACCGAGACATACATTGCTCCAACGCCTTGGGACGCGCGACGATGTGGGAGCTGGCAACTCTGGCATGCACTACATATTTTGTTCCTGTCCATATATGTACAACGGCGTCAGATGTAGGTGGCAGGCTTCGTTGCATGAGTTCTGCGCTTTGCATTTTACGTGCCACTACGCTGTTGCCGAGCCTGCGCTAGCAAAGGTCGCCGAAACTAACGTCAGAGATTTCAAGAAGGCTTGGAAATCAATGGTACTCAATTCATGCAGGAGCTTGCGACATGTCAACGGTTGCCGCGGCATCCAGTTCGTCCTCGTACATGGTGAAGGCAAGGGGTGCGAGTTGGAGCGTCAAGAGATCATACCATTGATCCAGGAGGTGAACAAGCTCAAGGAGGAGTGGCGCGACCATGATGGTTGGGCATACGGCCTCACCGTTAAGTATGTACAACCGAAGCAGTTGTCCGACATCGTTTTAGCCAAGAATGCCCCAGACGCGATAGCTCACTGTAGCGATTGGTCCGCATTCACATTTGAAGCTTCAGGCGCATCGTTTGTGCATATGAACAAAATTCCCCATTCAGCATATAAAGCAGGTGTTGAGTTTGACAGCGAGCTCGAGGCTCAGACTGTTGGCACAGACGATACAAAGTGTATTGGCTACCGGCGCGACTCGAATGGCAAGTTCTACTTACTTGTCGACGGAGATGGCGAATGGGATGGATTCGGGAAGTTTTCGGTATGGTACAAAGAGGTAGAGAGCATACCCCAATCAGCATACAAAGAATGCGCATGCTTTGACTCGGAGCAAGAGGTTCGACACGCTTGCATGCGAGATGTAAGGTGTATTGGCTACCGCCGCGATTCGAATGGCAAGTACTACCTACTTGTTGATGGAGAGGGAAGATGGGATGGGTTTGCGAAGATGACGGTATGGTACAAGGAGGTGGTCTGCATTCCCAGGTCAGCATATAAGGAAGGCGTGTGGTTCGAAAACGAACAGGATGTGCAACATGCATGCATGCGCGATGGTAAGAGTATCGGCTACCGCCAGGACTCAAATGGTACTTATTACTTACTCGTGAGAGGATTGGGGAACTGGGACGGCGTCCTGAAGGTATTGTCGAAGAGGCCGCCAGTCGCCTTGAACGCTTTTACATATCTGGAATCGTCTCGCTGCTGGCTGTTGTCAAAATCTAAGAATCGATAAGGCGTTGTTTGTTCCGCGTTATTGCAATCTGAGTGTTTGCATGTTGCCCATGTACGTTGTTATGTTGGCACCTGTATGCCATTCGAGTTTTATCGCTGGCACATTGTGGGCAAGTGGTGATGGTGTTCCATTTCTGTTTTCGGTTTTTCTTTAACATGTACGTGTATGTCATGGAGATACGAGTATGGTTGTATATATGTACGGGTATGGTGCTGCTGAGTAAGACCGCATTGGAGCTCTGACATGTTGGAGATATGCCTGCTTGCAGCAAGCCCGCCGTTGTGTCAGTGCAGGATTCCAACGCATGCAGGGTATTTCTTCCTAGCTCTCCCGAACAGGAACGGTACAACCACCTCGGGATCGCGAGGAACGCAGCGCCATGACGCTGTAATGTGGCGAGGCCGTGAAGTTGCATGGTTGCTGCGCGGCCTCCTGGAAGCTTGTTCGAGACTTCTCGGCGGCGTTTTTGGAGCCTCCTGGAAGCCATATTGGCGCTCTGTCGGGGGGCCTCTTGAAGTCTCCCTCGGGGCTATGTGCCATGTTGGGTATTCTTAGGCCGTCTTGGGGGCGCGCTGGCTCTGCCGAGAGATCTTCCGAAGGGGCTCGGCATGCCCATCTTGGGGCCGTCCGGTCGGGGTCTTAGGCCGTCTTGGAGCCATCATCGGCGCGGTCGTGGGCCGTCTTGGAGCGCCACTGGAAGTGCCCAGAGCCGTCGTACGGATTTCTCTGTATCTTCTGAGGCTGTCTTGGGGCTCGCAGAAGTCTTTCGAGAGCAGCCGTTGGCCGAACGCTTGGGGAAGCCAAAGACATAGGAAACCAGATGTTGATTTGCATGTTTGGGCTTCCGGGGGGGTTTCCTGGAAGGTTCTTCGGGCGCCTCACATCTGGCAGCTTTCAGTTGGTTTGGGGCATCTTGCAGCTGTGCTGGGGCGTCTTAGGGCGTCCTCGGGCCGCCTTGGGGCCTTGGAGAGTGCTGGAGAGCAACATGTAGAAGGGGCGTCCTGTCTGTCTCAAGGGGAATGCGGTATGCTCCGACGGGGGTTTGGACCAAAGACAGTTAAAGAAATCCTACCAGACAGCCAACATGCAATCCAACACGCTCCAGCCTGCCGAGGGTACGGGGAAGGATCCTTCATAGTAGTGAAGCGCTGGATACTTCAAGCAAGAAGTATCCCATAGGACCCCAGCCGACCTTCAAATGTTCAGCTAGCCGCTAAGTTGGTGAGGCCAGCCTGCGAGCCTGCTTGCGGGGCCGAGCTGGTGAGACGTTGTCAGCTCGCAGCGTCGCCTCGAGAAACAAAAACTCGTTTGCGCAGGTGACTTGCGTAGGAGGCACTTCGTTTTGGCATCGGGTGATGGGCACGCCCGATATCTATTGCGGCATGGTGAATGCCATGACGCTTACCCTTGAATCGTGAGCAGGGCGTCTTCAGGAGATCAACTGCGTATTAGCACCGCGCCGCGTTGTCTGTGACTGGTGCCATCTTTGGCCGATCTGTCAGCCAAATGTCAAGACGAAAGGTTTGTTGAGATGTCTTGCTGAGCCGAGCCAGGCACGTGGGCGAACATATGCCTTGCTCAACTTTCCCCTTTCCATATATTTCGTCCTACTATTTTGTTATTCCTCCTCCACCTCGAGAAGGGGACGGCTATCCACTCCTGCCGAATGCTTGCGATTCTGCGATTCACTACGATATTTTGCCTTATGTTTCGCTTCTGGGCCCAGAGTGTCCTTTTACAATTTGTCCCAACCATCCTGTGGTGTTGGGTCCTCGTTTTGAAGAGACGGTGCCCCGCGTCTCCCTCACTCCTCCTCCTCCTCCCGCTGCCTCCTCCCTCCGCCCTCCTCTCCCTCGTTGCCTCTGCTCACGGCGCACCCCTCACACGTTTCGTAGCCCCATTGGGAGCTCCACCTAAGGGCCCAGTGGCGCAGTTCGCATGCGTCTCCCCCACCCAGGACAGTGTTTCGTGGCCCCATAGGGAGCTCCACCGAGGGTCCCAGTGGCGCAGTTCGCATGCGTCTCCCCCACCCAGGACAGCTTTTCGTGGCCCCATAGGAGCTCCACCGAAGTCCCAGTGGCGCAGTTCGCATGCGTCTCCCCCACCCAGGACAGCGTTTCGTGGCCCCATAGGGAGCTCCACCGAAGGCCCCAGTGGCGCAGTTCGCATGCGTCTCCCCCATCCAGGAGGACAACGTTTCGTGGCCTCATAGGAAGCTCCACCGAAGTCCCAGTGGCGCAGTTCGCATGCGTCTCCCCCGCCCAGGACAGCGTTTCGTGGCCCCATAGGGAACCCCACCGAGGGTCCCAGTGGCGCAGTTATCATGCGTCCCCCCCACCCAGGACAGCGCTTCGTGGCCCCATAGGGAGCTCCACCGAGGGTCCCAGTGGCGCAGTTCGCATGCGTCTCCCCCACCCAGGACAGCGTTTCGTGGCCCCATAGGGAGCCCCACCGAAGGCCACATTGGTGCAGTTCGCATGCGTCTCCCCCAACCAGGACAGCGTTTCGTGGCCCCATAGGGAGCTCCACCGAGGGTCCCAATGCCGCAGTTCGCATGCGTCTCCCCCACCCAGGACAACGTTTCGTGGCCCCATAGAGAGTCCACCGAGGGTCCCAGTGGCGCAGTTATCATGCGTCCCCCCCACCCAGGACAGCGTTTCGTGGCCCCATGGCGCAGTGCATGCGTCTCCCCCACCCAGGACAGCGTTTCGTGGCCCCATAGGGAGCTCCACCGAGGTCCCAGTGGCGCAGTTCGCATGCGCCCCCCCCACCCAGGACAGCGTTTCGTGGCCCCATAGGGAGCTCCACCGAGGGTCCCAGTGGCGCAGTTCGCACGCGTCTCCCCCACCCAGGACAACGTTTCGTGGCCCCATAGGGAGCTCCACCAAAGGCCCCAGTGGCGCAGTTCGCATGCGTCTCCCCCACCCAGGACAACGTTCCGTGGCCCCATAGGGAGCTCCACCGAGGGTCCCAGTGGCGCAATTCGCATGCGTCTCCCCCACCCAGGAAGGCCCCAGTGGCGCAGTTCGCATACGTTTCCCCAATCCAGGACAGCGCTTCGTGGCCCCATATGGAGCTCCACCGAAGGCCACAACTGCACTCGCATGCGTCTCCCCCATCCAGGACAGCGTTTCGTTGCCCCACAGGGAGCTCAACCGAAAGCCCCAGTGCCGCAGTTCGCATGCGTCTCCACCCACCCAGGACAGCGCTTCGTGGCCCCATAGGGAACTCCACCGAAGGCAACAGTTGCTGCAGTCACATGCGTCTCCCCTACCCAGGACAGCCTTTCGCGGCCCACAGGGATCTCCACCGATTGCGATACTCACAACGACGGTACTCACAACTGCATATGGTTGGGTCCTTCGCCAGGCTAATTTAACGAGACCCCCTCTGGTCCGTGAACACACCATTTCTTCCTTCTCCTCCGCATCTTCCCCCCGCATTTCTCTTGCTACGTCAATCCTCCCAATGTCCTGCTCATCCCACTTCTCCTCCTCCTCCTCCTCCTCCTCCTCCTCCTCCTCCTCCTCCTCCTCCTCCTCCCTCCTCCCTCCTCCTCCTCCTCCCTCCTCCCTCCTCCTCCTCCTCCTCCTCCTCCTCCCTCCTCCTCCTCCTCCCCTCCTCCTCTTCCTCTCCTCCTCCTCCCCCTCCCCTCCTCCTCCTCTCCTCCTCCTCTCCTCCTCCTCCTCCTCCTCCTCCTCCTCCCCCTCCTCCTCCTCCTCCTCCTCCTCCTCCTCCTCATCCTCCTTCTCCTCCTTCTCCTCCTCCTCCTCCTCCACCTCCTCCTCCTCCTCCTCCTCCTTCTCCTCCTCCTCCCGTCGTCTCTCTCTTTCCAAACATCGCTGAGGCTCGGTCGCCCTGCCTGGGCCGCCGGGCCGCTCCGAGTCTCCGCGGAGCGGGTCTCGGGGCCGTGCCGCGCGCCGGCGCGCGGGCGAGCCCGGGGCGAGGAGACGATGCCGTCTGCGCGGGGGAGGGGCGCGCCTCGCGCAGTGCCGGGCCCAAGCCGTGGAAGAGGCAGGAGAGACTGAGGCGCTGGGCGCGTCGCGCTGGGCGCGTCGCGCTGGAGGCGGCGTCCCGCGCGGGGCGAGCAGCCCAGCGGTGGCAGCGGGGCGGCGCGGCTGGTCCCCGAGGTGCTGGCCCCGTGCGCCACGGGCGGGCTTCTTGAGTCCGATGTCTCAGTATCGTTTAACCGACCCCCATCCCCATCCCCATCCCCTTCGAGGCGCCCACCAAATTACCCCCCCCCCGGCTGGGGATGCACCCCTCGAAACCCGAAGGGAACGGCCAATATCCCCATCTAGGGGGGGGAATCGGCCAAAGGGGCCCAGGCGACGCCGCTGGGGATGGGGGTCGGGCAGACGATGCTCAATGTCGGCGGCGGCGGCGGCCCCTGGCGCATGGCCGACCCGGAGGCCCACTTCGGCGTCCCGCAGTCCAGCGGGCTTGCAGACCGTGTCGACGTGTTGCCGTCGGAGTTGGCGCCCATCTCGGCGGTGCAGGCGAAGCGCTGGGAGGCTCGGGCGGAGGAAGCCGCGTTCGTCACCAACGCCAGCCGTCATGCTGATGCCGCAGGCGCTGTTCGCGACGCGTTGAAGCGTCACGCCAAGGAGAAGGCCATCGTTTCCGAGAGCATGGTGATTGGGCGAGGTTGACAGCGGTTTCACCAGCGATAACATCAGTGGTGCCTCCAGCGGCCACATTAGCACTGCCGCCAGCTGTGTCGCCAACGGCAGCGGCAGCTTTGTTGTAATTCTTGTGTACGCCCGTTTCGATCCCTTCACGGCGTGACTTGCCTCCCCTGAAGGGGCAACCGGTGCCTCATGGGTCTCTTCGTACCGGCGCACGTGTGGTTGTTTCTGCGCCTGCCGTTCAAGGAGAGCCTCGCGAGAGACGATCCATCTTCGCTGCCGAGCCAGGCTGCAGAGGGCTCTGGCGACCTGGAGGCGGTGCACACCGATGGGGGCAGGTCAGCCAGCAGCGGCGGCCCTGTCGACGCGGACCGTTTGGTGCGGAAACTCGAGGCGCAGCTGCGGGACGCGGAGCTGGAGCCCGCGCGCGTGGGCCAGGCGCTGGCGAGCGTCCGTCGCCCTCCCCGTGCGGCGCCGCTCCCCGATTAGAAGGACCGCAGCGGTGGAGTGCCATCCTCGGCGGCGGCCGCAGACTCCCGCACCGCGCGCCGTGATCCCGACGGGATCACCTCCTCCTCCTCCTCCTCCTCCTCCTCCTCCTCCTCCTCCGCACTCCTCCTCCTCCTCCACCTCCTCCTCCTCCGGGCGATCCCGGCTTCCCTTGGCACATCCGATGCCGTGGCTGCGCAGCCGACGCCAGCGACGACTCCAGTCGAGCGCCCGCAGAGCCGAGGTGTGGTGCAGCGAGGGGTGCCGCGTGGAATCCATCAGGCGCTCGTCGTCTCTTCGACGCGCTCGCGCTCCTCATCGATCGCGGTGTGGCTCCTGCCGCTCGAGATCGCCCGAGCCGCAGCTGCGGCCCACGGCCAGGTCGCGCCCCCGCGCGGCCTCGAGCACTCGAGCGAGTCGCCTCCGAATATCCCCTTCGTCATTCGGCGAGCCTTGCTCCTCCTCCGTGTGCCTCGTCCTCCTCCCCTTGACCACCTTGCTTCTGCTCCTCCCGTTCCGCCTCCTCTCGTCTTAGTCCCCGCAGTATCAATAACACCGCTTGCGGCGGCCAACATGTGTGGATGAACGGAGAAGGACGGAAGAGCAGGAGGAGAAGGAGGACGACGACGAGGATGTGGAGGATGCGGAGTTGGATGAAGAGCAATGTTTTTTCTCTTGCGCTCAGTTCCCCCCGCTTTCCTTGTCTCGCTCGTTCCTCCCTCTCCCCCACCCTCTCCACCTTACCACATATTGTTGTCGCATGTCGTGGCCTTGTCAGTCCAGGATGGCCCTACTATTGCAGGTGCGCGTCACGCTCCGGCACGTAGTTCTATTACCCGCACTTCCGGTGTGCATCCATGCCTTCGGTTTGCGTTTGTTTCGCCCCTTTCTTTCTCGAACCTGCCTCTTTGGAAGCATGTCATGCCAATCCATGCTCCATGCCCTCTTTCCCACTTCATCTCGATGTGCGTCATGCCCTGTTGCTTCCTCGCAGCCCGTGAAGGTGTACTGCGGCACCCTTGCCAGATCACGGAGGCCGCGGTGTTCAGCAGAATTGAGGATTCCGGTGCATTCGCGGGGTAGCGGTTCCGGATCGGCGGTTCTTTCCCCGGCTCTGGGACCCCCGGAGGCTTCCACGAACAGCCGGACACCCTCTAGACGCCCGAAGCTTTATTAGGGCAACGATGCATGGCGTGAGGCTCGGAGGTCCGCGCGGACCTCCCGAGTTTTTCCAATGCGTTACAGTCGAGTTTGATTAGTATAGGTCGAACCTGCCCAGACAAGGATACCCTCGTGTCCTGTGCTTCGCGACCCATGCCCTCTACGTTCCACTGGCGACATGGCCATCGGAAGGGTCTTGTGTCCTCTCGCGTGTCCTCTCCAATCCACCCAGTCTGTATTCATCCCCATCTTCCTCTCCATCCTCCTAATAGGGGGGGGGGGGAGGCGGTGGGGCCCCCCGCGTGTTTGCGGAGAGAAGCAGGCGGCGGGGTGCCGCCTGCTTCGCAGCAGGCACGTGGGCGTCGATATCGTGCCGCACGGTCGCGCGTGAGAAGAAGCCATCTCCACGATCTGCCGTCGCAAGAGCTTGAGGAGGAGGACGAGGAGGAGGCGGAAGAGAGGGAGGAGGAGGAGCCGGAGCGGGAGGAGGGGGAGGAGGATGAGGAGGAGAAACGGGGGGAGGAGGAGGAGGAGGAGGAGGAGGAGGAGGAGGAGGAGGAGGAGGAGGAGCGAGAGGAGGAGGAGGAGGAGGAGGAGGAGAGAGGAGAGGAGGAGGAGGAGGAGGAGGAACGGGAGGAGGAGGAGGAAGGAGGAGGAGGAGGAGGAGGAGGGGAACAGGGAGGGGAGGGAGGGAGGAGGAGGAGGACGACGAGGAATTGTGGACGGTGGCGGGGCGAGAAGAGAAGGAGGAGGAGGAGGAGGAGGAGGAAGATCAGGAGTGCGAATGACGCAGGTGCAGGAGGATGTGGTAGAGGAGGAGGAGGAGGAGGAGGAGGAGGAGGAGGAGGAGGAGGAGGAGGGAGGAGGAGGAGGAGGAGGAGGAGAGGGAGGAGCGCAAGCGGGAGAGGAAGAACACGAGGTCGATCGGGCACAGCGTCGAGGGGCCAACCCAATGCTGTCTGGCAGTCCAACGCACGCCCCACGCACGCTGGGTGTAGGCCTCCTGCGTGCTTGAATGGGGCCCACCAAATTCTCCTCCCCCCGGGTATCCCTGGGCAGGGAGGTCCAAAAGTTGAACCTGAGGCCCAGGGAGGAGGGAAGCAGCAGAACGAGCAGTGGGTAGGATGGAGGAAGAGGGAGGGAGGACGGAAGGAGGGGAGTGAGGGGAAGTTGGAGGACACGGGATGTCTCATCGAACCGCGCCCCATGCCTCCCCCTCGCGCCTGGAACCGCTGCCGCGGTGGAGGAGGGAGAGGAAGGACGGAGGGAAGGAGAGAGGGGGGGCGGCCCATATTAACGGCGAATGGTCACTGCGTGAGGGGGAGGGAGGGAAGGAAAGAGGGGAGATGAGCGGGGACGTGGGGAGGAGCGACAAGCGAGGCAGGGGGGGCGGAGGAGGGACGGAGGGGAGAGGAAGGGACGGAGGGAGTGGTGAGGAGAGGGGGGATGAAGGAGTGGGGTGGCGGTGGAAGACGAGGGTGCACAGAGCGCATTGCACCCGTAGCCCCCGCAGACGCGGATAGGAATGCGGGGTTGCCCTTGGTGTCGACGATCGCAGGCCAAGACAGAAGCCCGACGCCGGCGCCACATTTGGCGCCAAGGCACGGAGGCGCATGTGGCCTCCTGTGCTCCCCAGAGGAGGCGCCACCGTGGGGCTCTGGGCTGGGGCGCCGCCCCGCCACGCTGCTCCGGGACCCCAATCCTCGGGGGCGGTGAGGCGGGGAGTGATGGCGAGGGGTGCGTGTGGGGGGGATAGCATAGCCAGGGCCATGAGATCTCCCAGATGCCACTGCCCCTCGTCTGCTTTCAGCACGTTGCCTGGCCCACCCCTCGTCCACGCACGCACGCATGCCTCGGGCTGTGATGCATGCGCTAGCTTCCCTCTTCCTCGCACCCCTCTTCGATGGAGCCGACATCTGGGCTGCCCCTCGCCAAGAGCCCCTGCGACGCCGAGTGCCTTCCCCCAGGCTGGGCCCCATTTGCGCTCCCACCGCAGGAGGGCGGATAAGGAGGATGAAACCAGGAACGCAAGGACATGTGTGCGCCCCGAGCCTGCGAGGTTGTGCCCGGTATGCATTCGATTTCCGTGAGCGGATTTCGTCGACTCATAAGGTTATGACGCCAACCTGAGCCATTTCGTGCCGGAAACCTGCGATAGTAAGCAGTGAGTGGTCAAGGCATGATGAAGCGTGGTTGTCCTGGCTCCTACCTCGACTGCTCCCTCGGCCCCCCCTTTCCCCCTTTGCCCTCCCCTCGTTTCCTAGATCATGGGGGGGGAGGGGGCGACGTTGCCGCCGAGGGTCTTCACAGAGCAAACCTGAAAAGCAAGCGCTGTCATACATCACAGGTTTGAGATCGGAGTCCTCGGTGTCGCTCCAAACCAGGCGCGGTACGAACAGCCCGTCTGGAAGGCCACTGCCGAGCCACACGTTCCTCCCACACGGATTCTTGACGAGCGTAGAGACTTGGGCTCGGGACCGGCGCCGTGTTGGCTGCCGCGCCTGCTACTGCTCCGGCCGATGTGCCGCACGGCTCGCGCGACCAGGCATAGCGAAAACACGGAGCGTGGGAGCCCCAGCTGAGCGCCCCGCGTCCTGGCCACACGCCCCGGTCGCAGCCTCCCCGAGGACACGCTGGCGCGCATCCACGCGCGGGCGCGGGAGCGGGAGGCGGTCCTGGCCCAGATGGCCTGAGGCGGGCAGCCGCCCTCGCTCCGCCGCGCGCTCTCCGGACCCCTGAGCCGCCGCTGCCCTCCTGGCTCCTGCGGGCTTCCGCGGCAGGGGCGGGGGAGGAGGGGATGAGGCAGGCAGAGCAGCCACAAGGAGGGGAGATGTGTCCCTCGCCCCCCCTGGGGTGGCCCAGGAGTTTCTGCACCCCTCCGGAGAGGTCGTCGGTGGTAGCACAGCCGAGGGAGTGGTGCCATTCTGTTTCACGCTGAAGAGTGAACCCAGCCTTGCCAGGAGGAGTTCGGAGAGCCGCGGGAGGCGTACGCCAAATGGCTGCGCTGGGACCCCAGGGGGTCCTCGAGCCAAAGCTAAGGTATATACAAATGTAATGGCCTTCGGCCCATCCCGCCACCGTGCATGGCTTGTGGGTATGGGGCCTATTGGATGTTCGTTGGGGTCTCGTGGGGGGCCTCTCGGGGACCTCTTGGAGGCAGTTTGAGGCCTCTTGGGGGTCGTTGTGAGGCCTCTTGGGGACTCGTTTGGGTCTCTTGGGAGCCTTTTGGGGCCTCTTGGGGCCCTCTTGGGAGCCTCTTGGGGCCTCCAGGGCGGGGCCTCTTGGGTCGGAAGGCTCAGATTTCCGGTTCGTGTTCCATCTCCGGGGCTTCTCTTGGGGCAGTCTTGGGACCCTTCTGGGCCGTCTTAGGCACTTCTGGGGCCGTCTTGAGGCGCTTGTTGGCCGTCTTGGGGCCTTCTTGGAGGCCTCTTGGGTTGGTTTGGAGTGGTCTTGGGGGCCTCTTGGGCCGCCTTGGAGCGGCGGAAAGCCGCAAAGGCGAGAACGCCAGAATCCTTCAAAAACCTGAGGAGCATCAATGATGTGTGCCTCTTGGGACCTCTTGGGAGGTCTCTTGGATGCCTCTTGGGGCGTCTTGCAGGCCTCTTTGGCCATCTTGAAGCCATCTTGGGCGTATTGGAACGATCTTTCCGCGACTCGGGGCCCTCTTGGACCGTCTTTGGGGCCTTGTGGGGCCCTCTTGCCCCGCCTTAGAGCTTTCTGGGGCCAGAGAAAGTCATGGGGGAAGCCCCACGGAAGCCCAGAGTGCACGCGACAAGCCTTGCCAAATTGGGCAATTTGGGGTCCGGACCCTGCAGGAACTCTTCTGGACTGACTGCTGAGGTTCAGAGGAAGGGCAGAGGACCTGAGGACACGCCCACTCCTTGCCCAGAGGCACGGTGGCGGATACCGAAAGAGAGAGAGAGAGAGAAACAAAAAAAGAGAGAGAGAGAGAGAGAGAGAGAGTTGGGGGAGACGCATGCGAACACCCCCACGGGCCTTCGGTGGAGCTCCCTGTGGGGCCACGAGACGCTGTCCTGGGTGGGGGAGACGCATGCGAACACCCCCACTGGGGCTCCCGGTGGAGCTCCCTTTGGGGCCACGAAGCGTTGTCCTGGGTGGGGGAGACGCATGCGAACACCCCCACTGGGGCCTTCGGTGGAGCTCCCTATGGGGCCTCGAAGCGCCGTCCTGGGTGGGGGAGACGCATGCGAACACCCCCACCTGATTTCGGTGGAGCTCACCATGGGGCCACGAAGCGTTGTCCTGGGTGGGGGAGACACATGCGAACACCCCCACTGGGGTTTTCGGTGGAGCTCCCTTTGGGGCCACGAAGCGCTGTCCTGGGTGCCGGAAACGCATGCGAACACCCCCACTGGGGCTTTCGGTGGAGCTCCCTATGGGGCCACGAAGCGCTGTCCTGGGCAGGGGAGACGCATGCGAACACCCCCACTGGAGCCTTCGGTGGAGCTCCCTATGGGGCCACGACACGCTGTCCTGGGTAGGGGAGACGCATGCGAACACCCCCAGTGGGGCCTTCGGTGGAGCTCCCTATGGGGCCACGAAACGCTGTCCCGGGCGGGGGGGGCGCATGCGGGCACCCCCACTGGTGCCTTCGGTGGAGCTCCCTATGGGGCCACGAAACGCTGTGCTGGGCGTGGGGGACCATGCGGGCACCCCCAGTGGGACCTTCGGTGGAGCTCCCTGTGGGGCTACGAAGCGCTGTCCTGGGCGTTGGGGACGCATGCGAAAACCCCCACTCGGTGGAGCTCCCTATGGGGGGCACGAAACGCTGTCCTGGGCGTGGGAGACGCATGCGAACACCCCCACTGGAGCCTTCGGTGGAGCTCCCTATGGGGCCACGAAGCGCTGCCCTTGGTACGGGAGACGCATGCGAACA